GAATACAACGCCAAGCAGATATTAGGTAGGAGCTTCCACGGTGTTGTTGTTGTTTTGTTTGTTTTTTTGTTTTTTTTGGTTACTATCACGTACAAATAGAAGGAGCGAGTGGCCTGGCGCAGCACGGAATTAGCGTCTCCCCTCGTCCTCCCCCCCCCCCCCTCTCTCCACCTCCTCCTCCAACACTCAGCTACCTGTTTATGAGCCCTTTTCCTCCGGACCCCCGTGACCCACCTCCAAGACACCTCGTAAAAACATAGCCGGACACCGGGGGAACAGGGATCCGACAAGTTTTCCGCGCTGGCGCCGCGCTGCGCTCGTCAATAAAATCAGGACGAAAAATAAGTGAAAAATAATTATGCCTACCCGAACCCAGTCAGTCAGTCAGAGACCATCCCATATACATTCCAGCGGCTGATCGCGAAATAAAAAAAAGGAAAAAAAGAAAGTAGCGCCATGCACTATCGGAATCTCCTTAAAATAAAAGGAGAAATTAAAAGGTGATTCTTGCGCGTGGAAATTTGCGTTAAGACCGCGGGTGTTTTCCTCTAAAAAATATATATGTATCTTTCGAGTGTGTCCTGCGTGGGATCGATCATTTATCCAATATCTCCAACTCTAATCACAAACACCGTCCCGTGCTAAACACAGATTTGTTGTTTATTTTATTTATTTATATATATATTTTTGTAAAGAAACCAAAATAATAAATATTACACATTTTTTTTACTTTGACCTACTGTAGTGTGATTTCCCCTGTCAGCAGCGAGCAAGCATCACTCAGCGCAAATATCAAAAATCCACACACTTACCAGAGAGAGTCTCTATAGCCTTTATGGCCGAGTTCTGGTCGGGGAAGTCCACAAAAGCATAGCCGGATTTTAGCAGGACCTGCTCGGGCGCTGGCAGCTCCCTCTCCCCGAAGAGCTGCTCCAAGTCCTCGACTGTGACCGAAGGACTTAAATTCCCAACATATAGTTTGTTCATGATCTGAAGAGCAGAAGAAGGGGGGAAAATCTCGAAAGGCTTGCCAGATCTCAGGAGTGAGACGATATTGAGAGCAGCAGAAACCAATTTTTGAAAAATAAAATAAAAAAAATAAAATAAAATGTATTTTGGGGGAAAGAAAAATCGTCCTCCAGGATAATAGGGAGCTAAATGAGCGACCCCCCAGTTACCGACCAACTCTGGCCCTGGTCAAACTCTTTCAACAGGGTCTGGGGGGGGGGGGGCAGGTGGGTGGGGTGGGGAAAAAAAAGAAAAAAAAAAGTGTCGTTACGACGCTATTACTCCGGAGCCAACAAGCGCCGCCTCTAAACAAAATCTCCCTTAAAAATCACAAGAAAAAATGTTTGGAGGTGCATGTGCCGCTCGTCCGGCGTACAGAGGGGCATGGTGATGACTGTGCTGTGTTCTGCGAAAGGGATGGGCTTAAAGGAGGCAGAGGGGGGTTATTTCATCAAATCATAATAAGGGCCTCCAGGTTGCATGGGAGTAAGGGGCTTGGCTTGGTTTGGAGTGAGAAGAGAAGGGAAGTGCAGGGCCGTTTCCAGAAAGTCTTGAAAGGGCGGCTCTACGGGGGGCCACTAATAATTTTAAGGTTTTACAACAAAATTGGACAAGTTTAACCTGACATGAACTTTATAGGGTTTACGGTGGCAACAGACTCCCCCTCGCCCCATTTTTATTTTTTTTTTATGTTTAAATCGTTGCATTTTTTTATTTCTTTACATTTTATAATGTAAGTGAATGTTGTCAAGTGTGTATGTTCAAATAATTAGCTTCTTTTAGTTATTAATTAAAAAAAATTAGTACAAGCTGTTTAAAGTCCATACAACATTTACAGACTGTGACTTTAAAATACTGAAACTGTGTTCATTTCTTTCAAATAAATATGTGATCCTGATCTCATTTGAAGGCCCAAAAAGGGGGACAATGGACGATAAGTCAATAAATGCTGCACCTCACCCAAGTTCATGGCTATAATATAGATTTTAATGCCAATATATTAGCACATGTTCATGTCCCTGAAAACATATGCAAGTGTAGATAATGGGTGGATTGGACGGTGGACGCTATTATGAGCAACGTTTGTCATTCTAAGAGTAACCCACTCCACATAGGTCATGTATATATATTTTTTAACTTTCTCAGGAACTTTAACCAGTCCTATGTTCATACAAAGATTTATGAATATGAACTCATTCCAAGGAACTTTTATTACACTACATTCAATGAGTTTAAATTCTATATAGCGTCCAACTCTGAAGTCTTTAAGGTCGTCAGACCAGGGATCTTTGACAGTCCCTCCCCTTGTGCCAGCGGAGAAGGAGGAAGTAAATAGGAGCTGCTGTGTGGAAAATTCAAATCGTTGTCGACTTAAACCAGTAAACCAATGATCCCTCCCTCAGTTGAGGCTTTTAATTATTTATGAGGGAGCCAGAAATATGGATTTCTGGGATCCTTTCACTGCATTCAGCACCTGTTTGAGAAATATTTGATTTTTGTAGTATTTACATTGAAATACAGACAAAAGCATTCCTTCAACAAACACACGGACCAAAAAAAGGCAATAAAGAAAGTGAAACCACACTGCTGTCCTTGTACATATTGCTCTGGGAGAAATAATAATTAAAAGAAAACTAGATTTATAGCTGAGAGTCTCTAAATCCCTTTTTGAGCACAGCCTAAATGGTGGAAAAGCCAAATGCTGATAAGAACAGAAGGGGATTCTTGAAGGAGCCACTCGATGCTGTACACATGAATCCTTTTATTTGCTGTGGCGGTTGTGTAAGTGTTTGCAAATGGGTGTGTTTGGGAGGGAAGCATGTTTTAAGGCGGACTGCAAACAAAAGCTTTGCAAGGCTGTGGCAGCTGTGCTCATGCATGGTTGTGTAGTCTTGTACCTAGTTACCCAAGGGGAGGAGCCTAATTCTTTTCTCTTTACATGTGACTTCTTTCCCTGAGCTTTCGGAGCATTACTGCCACCCCACTGTAGTGCAGAAAGTGCCAGCAGCAGGAGTGACCAGCTCCTTCTCTCTTGCCTTGTTTCCGTCAGTGTATGAACAGAGGAATGTCCAAACTGTGGCATATTTACAAAACAGCTCTTTACTTTCCCAATGGCATGCACACACGCTCAGTTATTGTGGGGTCTTTGTTTTTGGGGTTTTTTTTGTTTGTTTTTTTTGCTGCCAGTCAAAAAAATCAACAGTTAAAAATGGAAAGAGCAAGCTCCAAACCCCCAATAAAACTCAAAAATACAAATTTCTGCTTTTAGGCAGTTTTCTGAAAATTGGGTCACTGGGCTTTCAGATTGTGCAAATTATTTCCACCCCGAATGGAAATGCATGCGACATTTGGAGGAACGTGGAGACACACATACATGTGGACTTGTGGTGGAACATGGAAATTAATTTCCAAGGTGTGGCCAGCAGTGCAACGGGTGGTTTCTGTCTCCTGACTGCTGCAATGCCTGCGTATATTACACACTTTCCGAACACTGAATATTATAGTAAAAGGTTTAAAACTTGCAGCAGCTTTTGTTAGCACATAATTCTTTTTTTTTTTTTTTAACATCTTTCATTCCCTATCATGTTTCGTTACCTCCAGCTTTGGTTTAATCAGCCAAAATTGGAAAAAACTGAACTTTCCACAAATATGCAAATAATTACAATGTACATTTCTGAACATATAAAACAACTATTTGGATATTGAGAAAGGACTTGAAGGAAATCACACTTTCTCAACACTACTTCCTCCTGGTGCGTCAGTTTAAATATGGTGTCTGTCCACTTTCCTGTAAAATGAAACCAAACTAGTCTTCCTTAGAATTTGCTTGTTGGTTTCATTTAAAAGGTACACATTTACAGCAAAATAAGGACAATTCACCTAATCTGCTACAAAAAAAAACAAAAAACATGTGTCTTAGAGCTGAACTACAACAGCCAGAAAGAACAAAACTGATCATTTGTACCTTATCTTGGTCAAATTAATCTTTGGTTACAACACCCTTCTGAGGACTTTTCAGAGGTTCACAGTGACCAGCAGGGGTAGTTGTTGAACTTCAGTTTCCTCTTGTTTGATGAAGCTTGTTTCTCTTCATGTGAGCAGCAGCAAACATCAATTTGAACTGGGTAAGGAAAATAACCTGATCTCATGGCTGTGAAGGTGAATTTACCTGTGACTTGATTATGAGAAAAGCCATCCAGTGAGCAAATGCATCATGTCTCACATGGACACATTTTTTTTCTTTCCCAGTTTCAGAAGATTAAATTCAAAATCCTCACAAAAACTCTTAAAAGTTGCCGTTTATCCAGCTATTGAAATGCCAGCTTCCCAGCCAAATCATAGAAAATATCACTACTTTCATGAATCAGGAGGGAATGAACATAGAAACTCAATCCAAACCAGTGTGGAAGGTCTTAATTGTATTTTAAAGCAAAGCCTAAATGTCAAATTGTTTCATGAGTTTTACAAACTTTGCATAAATTCTGATTAAAACTCATCTGCATAGTTTACAACAGTTAATTTTCTGTGCAAAAATCCAAACATGTCAAAACCAAAAGAGAAAATAAAAGCTCAAATTTGTCACCATTTAAAAATATTTCTAAGCTAAAAGTTAAACGCAGACTTTGCTGTATGTAAATTATATATCTAAAGCATATTCATAAAAAAAGGTTTTTAGGATAAGAGAGAAAGAATGCCAGAGTCTTCAGAAACGACACGAGTCTTGGTGGAAAAGAAAACTATTCCCTTTTAATTTGTTTAAATTTTGCTGAATTCTCACTCAGTTTGTACACAAGAAAACCCCATAAATTAACACGCCAGTTAGAACAACACTGGCCTGTACATTTAAAATTTAAAACAAGGACACACTGCTTCAAATGTGTTTTTCCATTTTCACTGATTAATGATAGGGAAGAGGAAGAGTGGTGATCATCATCGTCATCATCATCCGTTTGGTTTCTTTAATGTGGAGTTGAATGAGAAATGTCTGTTAAATAGGAGTATATTGTCATGACCAGACACTGAATGTTCTCTGAAGTTAAAAAAAAAAAGTGTCTCTGGAGAACAATAGTGCCTAATGAATCACAAAGATTCAACCAAGGTTGAAATTTTTAAGCTCCAAATTACACAATAAACTAACCAGCTGAGAATAAGCAGACGAGCATCTTCCAAGTTTCACATTGTGCAGAGGGATAACTACCACAGGGGCAGAAACGGGTGAAAAGGTTTTCTGCCAACACTTTTCACATCAGTACATTGCTAAGCTTACGCTGCTGGTATTCTGCTCTCTCAGGACTTTGCACAAATTTTTCCCATGAAACTCCACATTAAAGAAAGCAATATATCACCTTAAGAATATGATATCTACAAGAAAGTCAAATCTTTAGGAGAAACGCCTCGTCTGTCCATGGAAAAAAAGGGATTTATGTCTTCCTGATCTGCTCAATAGCGACCTGTGAAAGAAAGCAGCCGTTAGTTAAAAACCCTACAAGTTACAAACAAGCCAACGTTTTAAGACGACTGCGGGTAATATTTGGACTTACGAGGAGAATAAGACCGGGATCTTGACCGAGATCTGTATGCTCCTCTGTAGTATGGTGATGGAGATCTTCGTCTAAAATTGAAACAAATTTTCTTACCAGTAACATTTAGAATTAAAACAAAAAGCAGGACAAAGAGAACAGAGCTTTGATTCTTCAATGATAATCAGCAAAATACCAACTGACAAACTGGGAGTGTTACCTGTATGATCTGTAGTAGTCCCTGTCGTCATAGCGATCATAGCCACCTCTATCGTATCCACGGTCATAGCCACGGTCGTAGTCGCGTGAATAGCGCCGAGGACCACCGGGACCTCCGCCACCACCGCCACCACTGATGAGAAACAGTCAGATGTAAAACCATAATGCACACAAGTAACATATTCCTGTTTAATTTTAAAACACAAGGTTTTTATGCTCAGCATCTCATCAGGAGCTCCATTACAGGCAGCCATGCTTATCGGAGTTTAAATTTCAAAACACCTACAAAGCTTCATGAAACGATTTATAACTTTTTCACATCACGACTAACAACTTAAATGTATTTTTCTGGGAGGGGATTTTATGCGACAGGTTCAAAAACAAAATCGTTATGCTTAATTTGGAAGTGGAATTATTTGTTTCTTAAACTCTACTTGCAAACATGAAACTGGTCACACACAGAGTGTGGCTCTACTAGCTATACAAATTTAAAGTATGAAATTTCACTTGATGAATCTCTGTAAAACAGTTCCAGCTCCACCAGACAGGACGTAGTGCACTGAACAGCAATCTTTAGAGTCTTGGCAGAAATTCTCAAGTTAATGAGTAAAGATTTCTTCTTACTGTATTTCATAAAAACAAACCGATTTTAATCCTTTCCTTTGCAACTGATCTGAACCAACTTTATATCCGTTTTGTGCTTGGCTCCACCGTTTGACTAGGAGTATCATTGTCCCTGTTGGCAAGCACAACTAAAAAAAAACCACTTCACAGTCAGGCACCAGTTAGTTTTAATCTATCACTTAAATTCTCAAAAAAATGTTTTGAAATTAGTGGTGTTAAATTGGGGGGAGGGGGGGAACTGTATAAAAAGGAGATAACCATTTTTTTAAGGCACAGGAGTTATTCATTCACACACACACACACACACACTATTCGCTGTAGCTGACGTACTATGTGGGCCGTCCCATGTAGATTCCCGGGGTCGGGGTGTGAGGTCTTTTTGTGATTGAGAAATCCACCCGGATTCTACGACCGTCCAGCTCCATGCCATTCGCTCGGTCCTTTGCCTGATAGCAAACAAAGTGTGTTTTTATACAAAATCCCAAGCAGTGTTTCTATTTAGATTTTTTTTAATGTTTTTTAATAATAATTGTTTGGATAAAATGCACTACCTCTTTAGCATCAGCTGTGTTCTCAAAGTAAACAAAAGCAAAGCCCCTGGAGCGCCTGGACTGCTGGTCGTACACGATGCAAACATCCGCCAGGGGCCCGTACTTAGAGAAGACGTCCCTCAGATCCCTCTCTGTGGTGTACAGGCTCAGGCCAAACACTCCCAGGCAAGCATTTGGATCTGGATTAGCCTGAAGTTTCAGGAAAATTAAAAGTTTACATTTTACAGAAATTAATTACACAAAAATATACACATTTATTTCCAGACTGGTAATGCAAGATCAAAACATGGGAGAAAAAAAAACATGGGTTACTCACAATGGATACCATCATAATAATTGCCATTAGTTTTTTTTCTGATACTGTGCTACTCCACAAACATAATGAATGAATACACTTTATTTTTCAAAAACAACACACCCGATTGCCGATGTGCCTGCGGCGATTAGACATGGGGGAATGACTGAGGCTCCTGCGGCGGCGCTCTCCACTGTAGGAGCGGCTGCGGGACCGGCGCCTGCCGGACCTGGAGCGCGACCGAGAATGGCTGTAGTGCTTATGAGAGCCGTGGTTAGAATGGGAGCTGAAACGGCAGAGACAAACTTTTAACATTTATCCAAAACACCGCTTGAAGGATCTGATTTCTGTGCCACTATTTGCTCTTTAAAAAAATAAATAAATAAATAAATGAATAAATAAAACTCACCCTGATCTGGACCTGGAGCGGGACCAGGACTTAGAACGGGAATGGTGGGATCCATCTTTTGAACGAGCTGGAGAGCGGCTCGCCGACTTCCCAGGGGCATGGGGACTCGCGCTCCTGGAAGCGGAGCGAGACTCCTGAACGAACCACACACACACACAGAAGGACGTCATCATCACAGAAGAAGTGATAAATATGAAGAAATGTGCTACAACAACTCTGTAGTTGAGATTTAAAACTATCCTGGAAAATTTGAAGGAAAAAAAAATGATACACAAAACGTAGAAATTGGCAATTATGAATGCAGGGTTAAAGCTATTTTATCTAACCAGTGGAAGGATGTTATCACTAGGATTACATCAGCAAGTATAATTAGGTAATTAAGATTACAAAAATAAAAGACAAAATAAAATAGCAATAACATAAATTAAAGTGTGATGTATTCAATAACAATGACATGCACGCATTGGATAAATAGACCAGAAAATTACTTAGCGCAGCGACCTTATCCAGATTACTTCCTTAACTTCATTTCTGTAACTTCATTACTTCACATTATTCTTCTTTCTTCAATTTTCTTACATCTTCTGACTTCCCCTTCTCACACACTGCTCAAAGTTCTTCCCTCCTCATGTTTAGCATGCATTCAACAATTCAGCTTCACACATCTGAGCTTCATATTACTGAAAATAAAGTGGACATGAGACTTCTTCTGCATTTTCTTCGTCGAACCTTAACCTTAATGGAAAAGAAAAGGATGAAGAATTTATGACTACAATTAAAACGGCACGCTCATTCAAATTTTCATCAGGATTTTGTGACAAATGTTAAAAGTTTGCAAATGCTCAGTGTTAGTTGGATTCATTTCACTTTCAGTGGTTCCACATTCACTACCGTGTCTTTCAAGTAATTTTATAAAAAAATAAGATTGCAATAAAAGGGAAGATGCAATAGTTCTGTAAATTGTTGCTCAATGAGCATTGCAGCCAATTGGTCAACCCTGTGTCTGATGGAAACCCAGGGATTTTGAACACAAAAAAATACACACAGCGCATCCATTTGTTCCTAATTTTAAACACACCTTATCCTTTTTTACTTACAAAAAAATAAAAGTAGTCTTGTTTAAAACAGTTCCCGTTAAATTGCATTCCTTTCATAGTGAAGATAAAACCACTGTAAATGAAAAGGTCATAATCTGAATTATTATCTCCCATTTTACCCAAAATACAGTAAATCTAGGTTAACCAAAACAACCTCAAGTTAAAGTTACAAATCATTTGTATTCACCTCCATCAAAAAGCAGCGAGTACGCATATCCCGTAAATGCCAATGTGCAATTATCTTCACTGAAAAACCAGATCTGCCCTACCCTTCGGCATACTGCTAACTGGTTAAGCAGGCGTTCAACAATTCACAAGATGATTGAAGATAAATATTTGAGGTGTTCACAAGTGAGGACGTTACTTGCTAAATCAAAGCCAGGTTCATACTTCAGCAGAAGGGTTTGTACACCCAACAATGGAAAGATGAAGAAGCTACACTGCTGTTCCTGATGTTCGCCTCTAATTGGAAACTCAGCTTTGTTCTATGAATAAAAGGGCTTTTTCATTATATTTACAAACGTGATCATTTAGACCTAAACTAGATACCCAGCAATGATTTGTGTTAATGTATGCTCTTTACATTAATAACAAAACACAGTTTGTGAAATAAGCACTCAATTTATGAAAAAAATTAAAGCTTTTATAGAATTAAAATCGAACTGATAATGGCTGATAATGGGATCACCTCAAACAATACAAATCCAAGATAAACTTAAAGACATATTTCTAGGTTAATGACAGATTTAACAACATGTTTGTGGTTTGTACCACTGACCATTTAAATTAAAAAAAGGAGCACCGCTTTACATTTTCCACAAATAACATACATCACAAACTGCATTTCTGAATATGCAATGTGTATAAAATTATCCAGCTTCAAATTTTAAACATACTTGTATTTTAGATTTCAAACCAAAGCGGAATAAAAACTGCATTCGTCGAATTTTGTGAAATAGCCCTTTAAAGAATCTGCAGCTGTGAATCGGACACCAACTTCAGCATCGTTCTTCATTGTCTATTCAGACGAGCAATTCATTGAAGCGCCTGTTTAAACAGCGAATATTACAACCTGCATGACCGAGGTGAAACAAATGAAGAATCTTGAGGCTGTTTGATTTAAAACAGCAAATTATTTTTACTCTTCCGTGTCGATTTAATGGCGCGGGCTAGGCGCGCCAAAAACCGATAAGGAAACCCCAGACTGCTGTTCAGTCAACATTACTAAACGAAGTGCATATTTTAAATAAGTATTAAACCTACCCTAAAAATGAGCCAAACGAAACGCATATTGCATAACGTAAGATTTAATTTCATGTGCAACAAAACGGCGTCACCTCGACGTTCTAGAATATTCTATCAAAGGACATCGAAAATGAAATTTCTATGCTTACGACAAGACTTTGGTTTACCTGACTTGCAGTGTCTGTCTTTTTGCTGTTTAAAGCTCTCACCTAACCAACCTTTTGGTTGCTAAATCGAAAGGAGATATTAACAACACCTTAAATTAACAATAAAGATAGGTTTCGATTCGTAGGTTCCTATTTATGAATTGACAAAACAGCTATCTTCATGTAAAAGACAATCTCTGTACATGCTTAAATATACATAAGGTTTATATTTGTCATATGTCGTATAAATATTTTTAAATCAATTTGAGTTGCTAAAATATAAACCGATTATTTTTTTTACTCTACAACCTTCTGTAGCCCAGGAATTTAATGCATGATAAATAATCCTAAACTGCATGAGTGAGACTTTTATCGTTTTAGCACCAGATCTAATTTAACGTGTTGCTAAAAATATATTTTGTAACAGCTGGTGGCGAATCACTTGGATACGAATCGGAAGCCAGCTTCTTCATCGTTAGCCTAAGGCCTAGTTAACATTGAAATGCTAGCATTAGCCAGGTAGCTAAAGTTAGCAACATACGTTTTTGCAGGAAATTTTATACTCAGTTTATGTTATATCAACGTTTTTAATGCGTTAGAGAAATTCACATATGAAACTACAACTGGAATGTCAAGCTACGAAGGTGAGCATTTGGTCAGTGGTGTCAGTTGATAAATAACAAAAACCGTTAATATGACAGTTTTCTCGTCAAATGGCTTTTTTCGTTGCTCTTCATGAACCATAGGAAGTAAAAAAATAAAATAAAAATAAAAAAACTAAATCAGAGTTCATACATTCCCGGCCTTTCTCATTGTCGCTCATTTTAGTGCTATAAATAAGCTACACGGAGAAATAGTCTACCTGATACTAATATGCGAGGCTAACGACTATGGTCGCGTGTGTGTATGTGTGTGTGCAGTAATGTAAAACTGTAGCTCCTCCCTTCCTCAACTGTTTTCACAACCACGTGACTTAATAACGTAAAAACGTACGTCATTTCATAAAGTTGAAATATATTTATTGGAGTTTTTTTGTTGTTGTTTTGTTTTTTAAGCATATTACACATCTCAAACAGGAGTGCAACAAATTTGACAGTTACTTGTGAATTCTGTTTAATTAACTTTTATTTGATAATAATATAATATTTTTTTAAAATCTCCAGTTCAGGTAGTCACCATTTTGCGGGAGCACGTGTGAGGCTCTTGATGTTTTCAGTGCTGTCAGACAAGGTCATGTTATTACTGCTGTGCTGTCAATAACCAATCTCTGATAAGTACACAAATTGTGAAACTGGCCACAAGACTTTCTGCTGCATTTTCTTTATTTAAGCGGACATAATAGTGGGAGTGACAGAGAGGATGGTACAGAATTATTTTTTAAGACACTTGAAACAATTATCTAGAGCTTCAGCACTGAGTATATTTATTGATGTATATATTTGAGTGATTCATAGCTTAACTGATGCTTTTAGCAATTCAATGGCCTTGCACTAAAAAACAATAATCACAATTTGAAAAAAACTTAGACCTCTTAATAATAAAAGCACATCTACTGCAAAAATAATTTATCTTGAGTTCTGCATCATTTACTCGAGAATATGTACTTCAGACATCTGGCAGGACCGTACAGCTGAGATGTTCAAATTCATTACTAATTAACACCTGTAAGTGAGAACAAAACAATCAAGCAGATTAAAAATTATTTTAAATTCTTTTCTTTCTTTTTTTTTTCTTTGGAGATGTTTGTGTGTTATTTTACATACCACAGCTATAAAGAACATTTATTTTATGCAGGTCAAGTGGACTAGGTCCATCTCGTTGGCCAATAGGAATGTAAGGGTCTGGTTTGGGAATGATTGTTGGTCCACCGTCCTCAGAGAAGGCATATCTGAAGCAGAGATTTAGAAAATGTAAGGTTACCCCAGCATTCATTAAGGCAAAGAGTTTATTTTTGAATTGATTCTAAAAAGTATTAATCCTTAATCAAATTTCTTCTGTTTTTGTGGGGTTTTTTAAATCACAATTAAATGTTTCAGTTCATCAAATATTTTACTCATAAGATTACTTAAGTAAATAAAATGTTTAGTTATTATATGATGATTTAGTTCATAAGGGACACATGCTATGGAAACAAATGGCCCCACTTAAAAAAAAATTCTCTAAACATTAACACTTTTGCTAGTAACAATTGCCATCAAGAATTTAGTTCAACTTTGTTCTCATCAGTCCACAGGATGTTCTTCCAAAAAAAGAGTTAATGCATGAATTAACAATTACTTTTTCACCCAGGGCCAGGCTGGTTTGTATTGCTGTTTTCCTCTTAATAGCTAACTAATTTTTCGAAGATTGCCTTTTGTACATACTTAACTCATATTTATTTTATATAAAATTTGTTTTAAAAATTTAAGTGAGAGAAAAAGCAAACACAGAAGACACACACTATATGTTGCCTTAAGCAGCATCTCACCGTCCATAATGCATGACAGAACTGTAGTCGTATGGGCTGTTCAGATTGTTCGTCGCCTGTTTCCTGAAGTTGTGTATTTGTTCTGTCACACAGAAAAAGGGACATTAGACTTATTTAGTTCAAATGTATTGGAAATCCCTGGTCGCGGCCATTCATCCAAACCTGGCAAGATGTTCTTCCACACAATGGTGACATAGTGGTCTCGGTCCGAGCGGGATTGCTCGTGCACAAAGCCGAGGGCGTGCATGAATTCATGAGCAGCAATCCCCGACCACATGCATCCAGGAGTCTGCAGTGACAAAGTCTGGCTTCCCCCGGTCTGCCCCAGAAACGACCAGCAACTGGGGGAGCACAGAGTAAACCTTACAGTGCTTCCTCACACAAAGCAGAGTTACATGAAGTAAGGAGTCCGTCTCACCCGTATCTAGGCTGGATGTCAAGGAAGCTGGCCTCATGAGTGCGAGGAATAAATTTGATGCAGGTTCCAGAGGAAATTTCTTGCATTCCTGTTTCTATTGTGATTCTGTCCATATCATCTACAGATAAAAAAAAAACAACAACAAGACTATTTAATTAAAATAGACCAAAGTGTGTTGATCTGTAAACCTCTTTAAAATGAATTCCTACCGTATACAGGAGAGAGGAGGTAGGGAACGTAAACAAATCCATCAATTGATTTGGGCCACAGACAGGCATTCCCAGGGCAGTTTATGGCACTGCGCACATATGAATAGGCAATATCTCCTTCTCTGAATGACAATCCTCTGGGTGCCCGCAGCCCTGAAGTGCAACATTTAACAAAGCTTACAAAGAGTGAATCAACACAGTTTATTTCAATTTACATTGCACTTACTGCTGTTGACTTCTAGGATCTGATCCATTGCGGTCATTTCATCTCGGTCCATGAGCTCATCTTAACACAAAAACATAGTGATCCTTGTCGATTTTGTAAATGTTATAGCTTCAAATGTACAATATCACTGCATGTAAATGTGCATCTCAGTAAATTAGAATATCATTAAAAGGTAAGACAATTCAAAAAGTGAAACTAGTTTGAAAGATTTTAAGTTTTTTTTTTTTCATTAATTTTTACAATTATAGTTTACGAATCACAGATGGAACCCAGAATTTTGTTACTCAAAAAATTGGAATATTACATTAGACCAGGCAAATGATTTTTAATATAAAAAGGTTATCTTGTGTCATATTGGAGACCAGAGCTGGGAAAAACTGCCGACTTGACAGTTTCCCAGAATACAGTTACTAACACCCTGCAGAAGGAGTGTAAGCCTCGAAAGGCCTTTGCTGAAGAAGCTGGTTGTTCACAGAGTGCTGCATGACAACATATTAATGGAAAGTTTAGTTAAAGGAAAAAGCTTCATAAAAAACCTATACTGATTTAATTTTCCAACAAGACTTAGAAGCTGCAGGCCACCATTAAAGAAATTAACAGAACCACAATCGAGTGCCTTCAAAAAAAAGTTGCACTAATGCTGTAAATCATGGCAAAAGGAGTCGCAACCGAGTAGGACATATTTTTATTAGTAGGGCACTATACTGATCTAATATGATGTTTCAACAAACAGAAATAAACACTTTAAATATGCCACTCTGCATGTAATAATTCTATACGAGTTTCACTTCTTGAATTGATCATATTCATACTGAGATGCAGCTGTATGTAAATACCTTCTTCAAAGAGCTCACCAGAGTATTTCCTCTTCAGTCTCAGTTTGCCCTCATGTACGTCAGTGGAATTCTGTCAGTAATGTTGT